ACTGTTGTCAGAAGGACTTTTCATCATACATCAGATGTTATCATAATATTACATTGATGGAAGGCTGGCTGTGATTTAAATATTGCTGTAGGATCTAAATATTATTATCCATATTAATTTATGTTCCAGTATGAGCATTAATACCAATGAATGGAAAAAGATTCTCTAACTTGTGTGTTCTTTTGGAGACATAGTCATAAATTGGCACTAATCTTCTCCTCTTGAAAACAAAAATTTCAGATCATGGCCAAGATCATGTGAGTCTTCTGCGATGGGTGAATTTGTCAAGCCTACAAGTAATTTTTTAGTTTACAGACCATATAATTGTATTAGTAATACCATTTCTGCAGTTAATTTAGGTGTACTGAGGCCTGCTCAAACTTTCCTGTCCCTGACACACGCGTAGTTACAAATGTTAATCGAAGTTTGGATTGCTGCAAGGCTGCGTAGACTTCTTTCTGTATATAATATAACAGTGTAGTTCCATAGATAACATTACACAGCTAGTGTCTGTTCCAGCGCAGGCCTGTGGGGACTGCACCTGTGTTCTGTGAAGCCCTCAGCATTTACCAGCTACCTACACAGGAGTCCAGAGAGCTGGAGCCTTTACCATAGGTCATTTTGCAAAAATAAATCTAAAACCGAGCTTTAGTAGAAACTAACCTACCAGCTGTAACTCTTTTCATATGAGATAATTTTGTTTTGTTTCTTTCCAGTCTGGTACTTTTCTCATACCTCTAAGGTTACCCATCCCATTTTGAAAACTGACAGACGCGCCTGCTCTCGGAAGATGCTCGGGCCTGGTTCGTACTTGCTGGGGAGACAGGGAATACCTGAATACCTGGGGGCTGTGCCACGTGTGTGAAACTGATACACTGGCTTCTTTTAAGAAGTGGCAGAATGAGAACCTTGAATCAATTAACTAATTAACTAAAACGAGCTAGATGGGCTGTGTGGCTCCCTCTCTTCTGTAACTTGTCTCATGTTCTTAAGGTGTTCCTGGGACCTCATCTGTGGAAGCAGACTGCAGCAGGGATGTCCCAGTCCTAATTGTCACTTTTCTCCTTTGGCTTGTAAGGCGTATCTGTCTGAATGCTTTGGTGTATTACTCTATTCATGAACAGAAACAGGGATAGTCAATCCCACTGTTATCAACAGAACTAACAAGTATTTCAAACAGAAGAAGAGGACGTATTGGTTGATGTCCCATTCTTGAGAGCATTATTATTTGTCTTAACACAAATGTCTAAATTAGGCACTTTGTCGTAATGCCATAGTTAATAATTCACATATCCTATTAATGTGTCTGTCAGAGAAGAATATCCTTCTACTACTTTCCTTTCTATTTCTCTTCTACTCCTTTTTATGTTTATTATTATGCAAGTGTCATTTTATTAAATTCTAAAGAACTGTATGATATATGGTATATTTATAAACCCTCATATTTATAAACTTCAGATTGAAGGGACAAAATCTGCTAAAAGGGAATTTTGTCTGTAAAAATCAGAAATAATTGACTTTCCCTGCAATAACAGGCACACATAATAAAACAAGATCAAAACAACCACCAAACAGGTTAGGTTAGAAATTCAGGAGCAGTGCTGGTGACCCAGGGGTAGGTCAATTGCTTGCAATGGGTGTTTCATGTGCTTTCAAGAAATTCTATGCAGTGTATTTACCACACGTGAAATAAAGAGCTTGTGTATTTCTGATTGGACAGTTCAGATTAGAAGCAACAATTTTCATTGGCTGTGTTGATTGCAATTGTTAAAAAATAAGTCTAAAAAATCCACCAAGCATATTTAAAGTATGTATTTATGTTTTTTCTCCTCTAATAGTGTGTGTAAAAAATGTATTTTGTGTTTTAACAGACACCCCTTCCCGCCAGTAGTTCTGTTAACCGAGGGTTTGCTGTGCATATGTCACACTGTGTCCTGGGCTTTAACATGACTAGCTCAGTATATCTTTAACAGATAGGTGCTGCTTGTTGAAAATGTGGACTGTATTTCCAGTGAAGGCAGTTGTTCCAGTCTGGACTGTTTCTCTGATTCCCTGCTCTGTGTCAGCCTCTATTAAAGACTCACACTCTCCTGTAACAGCTCCAACAGCTCTCTCCACTGTTTCCCTGCACAGGAGAAGCTGTATGGCCCTCTGAGGTCCCTCTCCCTCTTGCCAAGCCAGTAATCACCTCGATACTTAAAAGCAGGCCCGTTCAGAATAGACACACACAGGATCTCTGGCAAATGTGAAGAAAGACACATTTCCAGAGTGTGTTTCACCGAGGTGAAGTATCTGTTTTCTACTAACGCAGGTAAACTACAACAGTAGTAATTTCCCTGGTTTATACATTAGAGTTATTATGCTTGCGGTGAATGCAAAATTTAAATCCGTGAAACATAATATTCATGAGACTTGCAAGATAAATTTGAACAATTACCTAAAAATAAAGCATTCATATTCGATATTTTTAAGATGAAATGATGTGTACACATACAGTATATACACAAAATAGAGGTGTATAGAATGAAGTTTAAGGATGGGTGCAAATACACTGTTGTTGTCTAAAGTATACTTTTCTGAAAATACATTATCATGGAATACTGTTTATTGCAAGACTTCTGCAGATGACAAGTCATTACAGTATATATCCTGATAACCAGGCTTTCGTAAAATCACAGTCTTTTAAAAGAGCTAAGTCTTTGGCTAGTGTACAGTGAATACAATTTGCTGGTTGCAGACATTTTGACAAAGAATGCCAGATGTTAGAAAAATATGTCATTATCGGCTTCATTACTTTCTTAAGGACTACTCACTGAGAGGATGAGAGATGCATTTAGTTCCAGTGCTCATTTGTTGTGTTTGAATGCTTCTCCGTGTACAATGAGGGTGCTGTTGTGGGAGGGGAGCTGTTGACACAGGTCAGACCGAGAGATGAAAGCTGGTTCTCTGGAGGTCTGACCTGCATGTACAGTACGTGAGGTTGAATTCAGGTGATACTTGTTTTCTCCCTACAACCTGTAGGTCCTGTCTCTTACGCGAGGTCTGCTCACTCTTTGATCAGATTCCCTCGAGGAACTCCTGTTTAACATTACCCCAGAATGTCTATGTGCTGTTTGGAAATTTCTCAAGATCTATTGTCCTGTGGTTGTAGTCCACTCTAAGTAACCGCTTGCTCTGCTGTTTGTGTGATCTGTAAATTATTCGGGTCTAAATGTGTACGTCTACTGTGCAAGCCAGACAAGAGTACTATTCTACTCAACTATTTTGCATTTAATTTTTATTAGTTACTAAAATGTTGCTACAAGGCAATGATTCCTTAATGGGCAGTTACTCATTTTAAATAAAAAGTAAAAGTACTTTTTTCTTTTTCTTGTGTACAGTATTTTAGGTTTTCTATATTCCGTATTCAATGAATGCAAACTCACAATTACATGAGGTGAATAATCCAAAATGGAGCAATTTAGTCTAACATTATGTAGTCTGTATGGTTAACAATATTTTAATGCTGTTTTTTTTAATTTTCTCATGTATTTTTCTCACATATTAAACACATACACACAATGTAATGAAAATATTTTGTAAGGCAAAAGTAAAACAATTGATTTTCATAGAAGGCTAGTTCTAATTTCAGCAGCCCTTGACTCAGAAGTGGAATTTCACCTGTAATTAAGGCTCTTGTAGGGGCTGTCCTGTTGTGTGGTAAATGTACTGCAATAATTCAACTCCTCTAGTCACCAAATTACGTTTCCCAAATATGACCCAGTCTGATGCGTATGTTGTGGTTCCAGATTATACAATAATTGTTTGTTGTTGGGAGTCACGGGTCATGGTTGTGAATCTTCTTTCACTGCCAATCAAAGATCATAATTGTCTATAATCTAGAATTCACTGGTTCCTGTTGACAGATGCAAACCTTCACTGGTTGGAATGTGCAATTTTGTTCTCATTTTTAGCCTTTAGGGGCTGTTATTGACCATCCCTAAACCATAATGGTAAAAAAACAATCATTTTATATATCGTCCATCGAACATGCACAAATACACTGTTGTTCTTTTGCACAGCTTTAAAACCAACTTTGAACACATCAGTAATTGTTTAAAGCTATTATTGTTATCGTTGTTGTAGCTGATGTTGTTTTTGAACATGAAGTTAGGATTTCCTTGCTCTTTTGTTTTTACATGTGTAAGAAATCTGAATGTACTTCCTCTCAACACACAAATATCACATAAAACATTACTTTGGTGTTTGTCTACAATTAGCAATACATGTCTTACAGCAGTTATCTAAATTGGTCTAGAGCTCTAGACGGACTGTAATTAGGGAACAGAAATATTTGTATTATAAAACCTCCCTTTTCAGCTTTGTACATGTATTCTTTTTTATAATGTTTATATTGTTGCCTACAGAAAACAGTGAGGCGTCAATTTAAACTGGACTGAAAGCATGAAAAGGCAATAACTCCTATCGGTTCTGATACCCATTTGTTATGGTTATTTGTATATAACTTTTTAAATGTTGATCAGCTTTATGTGTTATAACACTGGGCTAAGGTGCTTCGTGTTTTAAAAGTTCTCATTTATAGAGTGATTTTAAACACTGAAAATCAGTTTTGTGTGTTGTGTAGCGCAATACAACGATGTTAGTGTATTATTTTATAAAGCAAACTTACAATACCGTTAATGGGCCATAAAATCTATTCTGTTACCTCATAAATATTTACAAAGCTCTAGCGTGGTCAAGGGAAATTGAGACCTAGTAGAGCTCGGTTGCATAGCTGTGGTGACAACACGTGTAAACAAATCTAAAATGTTCCATGAAGTCTGCTTTTCTGTGCGGTGCGCTGAAAATACGCTTTATCCGTAGGTAATATTTTCCTAAAGATAAAGACGCCGTAGCGGTCGGCTCCGCGCACAAGCAGTGCAGACGCGCCCGGTCTGCTCCGCGGCTCGGGAGGAGTTCTGTTCGGCCGCCCGCGATCTCAGCCTGTCTGTGTCCCCCAGAGGCGGAGGCCAGCCCCGGCTCGGACAGCGAGGGACTGGCGGAGCGCACGTCCTGCTCCTTCGAGTCGCGCTCCGACCTGTGCCACACGCCCGGCGACGCCTCCCCGCCCTCCTCCATGGACGAGATCCAGGTGGAGCTGCAGTGCGCCGACCTCTGGAAGAGGTTTCACGACATCGGCACGGAGATGATCATCACTAAAGCTGGCAGGTAACGCTGGTTTTCCATCGCCAAGTCGTGAACAGTACTATAACAACTACCAGGCGATCTCCTGCCCCCGTGATACTGTTTTAAATGAACTGCCTGCCTTATTTTCTCCTAAAAACGTTTTATGTGTGTATCAGTGAAAGAAGGGGCCCCCACAATATGTAAAGCGCTTTGGGATACTTCAAAAAGAAAGCGCCCTGCAGAAGCCAAATGTTTTAATTTCGTTTAGTTCACCCATTGCTCCACGGCAGAAACACGGTGTGTTTTTTTTTTCTTTTTAATTTTCGGCATGAAGTCACCAACACTGATTCTGCTATTTTTAACGTTGTCTTAAAACTGGCTCAATTCTTCCGACAGCTGTTCGGGACAGACCTTTACATAATAATAATAATAATAATAATAATAATAATAATAATAATAATAATAATAATAATGTATTTAAACGTTTTTTAATAAAGTTTTTTTTTTCGTTTTTTAATACAAATTAAAATGACCCCAGACAGTTATGGTAACGTAATATTTATTCCAAACAACAACATGTAAATTCGAAATTGTCAGTGAGTACGTGACTGGGATGCAGATTAAACAAATTAGGGACATCCCGGGCGTCATGTGTAGTCGAATCAAAATATAAATTTGTAGATATATTATGTTGAAATAAATATTTGAACAACATATAAATATACCCGAAGAAGGCTCCACAGCCTCGCTTTGCTTTTCAGCAGGAATAGACCTTTACTTGTTCCTATATAGTTGAAGTGATCGTTTTCCTACTGTAGTTACTTCTGCGACATAGATCGGAAAATAATCAATTTATTTTCCAGCCGCTTTATCCAGAGCCGAAGTTTCTCCCGGCAAGTTAACGGGCGCAAGGCAGGGTACACCCTGGACGAGACGCCAGTCCATCGCAGGGCAGACACACAGACACACACTCACGCCAGGGGCAGTTTTCACACAGGTCAGTAACTCCACCAGCATGGCTTTGGGCAGCGGGAGCCCCCGGAGCCCCCGCACGCCAACAGGAGAAGAACATACAAACTCCACACAGACAACAACCGCCACCGGGCCGCCCGCAGAGTCTAAAAGGGGCCATACGGGTTTCTGTACGGATGTCTCTGAAGGAACTGTCCTCAAAGAGCTCAAAGGATTTTAATTAAAAACCATCAAACGCCAGAACTCTTACTTCCTCATTTGCTCAAGGGACTTACAACTGGCTGTTAATTCTAAACATGCAGAATATCGCGCACTGCCTCAGAGATAGAACATTTTAGAAACAACAAAAACATTATTTTAGAGCACTGCTGACGCATTACGATGGATCGC